CAGACATGCGGCATGTGTGTTTGGTGTCGGCAAATCAGATTTACCCCTGTCATCCCCTGTCTCAAAATTTTGGGTAGGTGAAAGATCCATGACATCGTGAGACATGGCAGCCCGGTTGATGAATGGATCCCCAAGGGATCGCCGCTGGCCTTGGGTAACTCTCGCAGCATCTCTAAATTCACGGAGGGGTTCCTGAAGAGCCCTCCATGCCTTGGCGTCCGGAATGGTCTGGAATGCCGTGGCTGTGCTGACTGGAATCCGAGGCTTAGATCTAGAGATTGAAACCTAGAGCAAAGGCCAGTTCATTGTAACTTATACTGTAAAATGTCTCTTGGATTTCAGGCAAGTCCATGCTCACTACCGGAGAAACCTGAAATGGGCCATGCCATACCAAATCATTTCACCAAGTGGGCCTACCTGAAGACTCTCGCGGAACAACCCCTAAAAAATGAATTTCCTCAACTTTTTGAAATGGCCTGTTTGTAGTTCTCCATCTTGCTTCTTGCAATCCACTACCCCTACTCGGAACACGACTCGGGACGCCGCGGTGGCGCTCTGAGGACTCCCGCACTACAAAGATCTCTTTCTCGATGACAGCGAAGAGTGGGAGGAGTTTGAACCTGAAATCCCAGAAATTCCCAGCAACATCCCAGGGCCTACCCCAGGGCCTCCCTGTTGGACCGAACATGGCCCAATGGTGTCAAGCGGCATGCGCTGGAAGGTGGCCAACAAGGAATGGTTGTACTTCCCGAGGCACTCCTAAAGCCAACATGGACGACATGGACGACAGCCCAGATTGGGAATCCAAACATCATGGGTATACAATATGTATAAATAATGGGTATACGGTATATATAATATGTATAAATATGTATATAATATGTATATAATATGTACAGTAGATCATGGATGATAATGGTATTGTTAAACTAATATAACTATGTAATGAATCCTGTCAATGGGTCAAATGGGTATCATGGGTATATAATATTATATAATATATGGTTAAACTATGATATAAATCCTGTCTTTCTTGGTGTTCCTGACCATCCACTTCTGGAAAACATTCAGAACGCTTTGACCCTGGCAAGTATGGGTTGAATCACAGTTTTTTGCTGCTTGAATCCCTAGTTGTTGTTGCTTCAATCAACATTGTTGATGGCAAAAAGAAACTCTTCGGCATCTTTTTGGGGGTTGTTATATGGATATTTCCAATCCGGTGGGGGTACCCCAATAGCTGGATGGTTTACAATGGAAAATCATGTTAGAATGAATGATACAGTAACTGGGGGTACCATGGATTGGAGACCTCCATACATTGAACCCTATGAATGGATGACTAATTCAGGTACCCTCTGGTAATTTAACATAGCTATTGAAAATGGCCATCTATAGTGAATTTTCCCATTAAAAATGGTGATTTTCCATGGCTATGTTAGTTTACCAGAGGGTAGTTGATGGCGCTCACAACTTCAATCGGCCTCTGAAAATCCACCGCCCATCTTGAAAGGCCTGTCGCGGCGGGGGATCCGACGGATCCGACGGATCCGAGGCCATCCATAGCTGACCATCAAACCGGGTCCCAAAAATCGAAGCGACTGGAGGTGTCCGTTTTGTCATGTGTGTATACCCTCTGGTTATGTCAAACATAGCTATTGAAAATGGTGATTAGTTCGTGGATTTTCCCATCAATAGCATGGTGGATCCCCCCATAGTTATGTAAACGTTTACCAGAGGGTACCCCAAAATATCCCAAAATCATCCAGTCGTCAGAGATGACCATTGTATTGAAACCAATGGTGATGACTGGGGATCCCCCATTTTGGACAACTTCCATGTGGCTGTGTCTTCAAACTGGATATACCATGATGTACCCCTAACACGGTCATATGCTGGAATGATGAACCAGTGGATGGAATGGGGTAGCCATTCTTTCAGACAAAACCATATGTAAAAATAAAATAAAAGGGGTAATTCGCCAGATTTATGGCTCTCATTGGCCATCAATGAGACAAATGATGATTCAATCATATTCAATCATTGGATTTGGGGCACCCAATTCCAACAACAAACCCACATGCGGAAGAATTTTCATCCAAAACTGGGGGGAAGTCCTTGCAAGTTGGGTTCATGTGCCACCTTCATCCCGGGATATCCAAAAGGGACCTGGAAATCATCTGATCGTTCTCATGGTTTCCGCGAAGCACAAAGACCTAAGACGAAGGGCGAGGCGATGGAAGTTGCCGGGAGAAATCTGGTGGCTGGTCCAAGTCTACAGTATTGATGCAGGGAACAGACTCCAAAAAACTGGAGACGAGATGCTAATGTACCTCATTTTCAGGCAAAGCTGGCCAATCTCACTTGGACATTTGTCTTGGCATGTGGGAGATATTCCAATTTTAATCCACTCCAAAATGATTAATCCCATCCAGCCAGATTGATGGTGGATGTAGGGGATGATCCACTTTTTTGGCTGATCAAGGACCTACCTAAACAGCACCTCAAAGCACCGTAAAAACATGACGAACCATATCCATATTGGGGCCTCAACCTATGACAAATGAGTTGCCCCTCTGGTAAACTAACATAGCGCAAATGGCCCATTTGTAGATTCTCTGCCTATTAAATATGGTCATTTTCCAGTTCGCAAACTGTTAGTTTACCAGAGGGTATAATAGATGTGAATACCCATGTTATGTCGCTATCACTGGGACATTTTTTTTTTGGGACACATGATGTTGACCCCCATTTTCTTCACCAGCTTCTGGGTCCCCAGGCACTCTGCGGATGCGACAACCTCGGTGCAGGGAAGTCACGGCATCGATGGTTCTTCCAGTTTCAACACATCCAGATATCTGTCAGATGTCCAACTCCAAAATCCCTAGAATTAGCTTGGTTACTTGTCCCAAAGGTGTATGGAAGATATGGAAGATATGGAAGATTGGGGGTTGTTATTGGTATTTAAAACCGACCTTTTTCTGAAGCAAAACTAGCCAGACCTTCCAGCCTGCTCCTTCCGGGTTTCAGTGGCGCCAAATCGGAGGGTGCTAGTCATAAATCTTCAATGCACAACAGTGATGATCAGAATGTGCTGGGAGAAGAAGAAGGAAAAGAAGTACAGAGACAAGAAGAAGAAGAAGAAGAAGAAGCAGAAGAAGCAGAAGAAGCAGCAGAAGCAGCAGAAGCAGCAGAAGTAAGAAGGACAGGAGGCGGCAAAAGAAACATAAAAATAGAAGGACCGAATTCGCACCAGCCATTCTTGAGGATCTGAAACCTGCTCTGGGCGTAGATGTGTCCTGGGGGACCATGCTTGATCTACCCGGTTCTGTTGCTTGATATCTCCACGTTTGCTTCTTTGATTCCCAATTTCATGCCCTCTGCGTATTTAATGTAGCTATGGTTTTTATCGCAATTCGCTATAGGCAAATCATCATAAATCATCTTATCTATCATGGGCCATTTTCCAGTTCGCTATGTTAAATCCTCAGGTTTTTCCGGGCCAAAAAACACCATTTTTCATGGCCAAAAACCGCTGAAATCTGCCGCTGAGTTCTCTCCCCCGATCTCCACTCTACGCCCAGGCGCTTGAAAGCGATGACTAAGAGCCAAATCTCCACGGCATAGCGGCCGCGATCTGCGGGACCATTGGAACCATCAAAAAATCCATGGGTTTTTTTCATCGTTTTTTTAGCATCAAATAATCATCAAATAATAGGGAAGTTGATGATTAAGAGGTACTAACTTGGTTTGAACAATTGGAACACTAACATAGCTATGGTCCCGGTATGGGGATATCATGGGGATACACTGGGATATTTCATGAGATAGCCAACAAATTGATTACCCTTTGGTAATTTAACATTTTGCTAGGGAACATCACCTTTCAATAATAGGTAAATCACCGAACCACACATACGGCACTTTCCACAGCAAACTGCCAAAGATTAGTGGAGGATAAGTCCTCAATTCGTGCGAAAATGATGGAAAATCACAACGGAAATCAAGAACAAAGCTGGAGTCAACGTGTTTCAGACTTAACATCACAAAAAGAAAATGTATGTATCGATTTATATATCACAAATCAAACTTATCAGAATCATAAACTTCATCAACCGGTCTTTAATATCACAAAAGCGCAAACTGTATGGATTTGCATTGGTCTTGAAAACAAAAGAATGTATCATGGATCGCACCCTGTTTGTTGAATACAGTACTGGCCACACAACTCACACGCACTCTCTGATTTTTTCACGCGTTGGTGATCCGGTGATTGCCTTCAAACTTTGCTTCAAACACAAGTCTGGGTCAAAATTCTGCACACCACTAACTGTTTTGTAAAGCAAGTGTAAAAATCAGCTGCATACTAGATTGATATATACTATATATATACTAGTAAATTAATATACTATAATATTCAGTTGTACTATTGATATATATATATATATACTATATATCACTAATATACTAATTATTGTTGATATATTAGTGATATATATATATATATACATATATTAGTGATATATTAGTGATACTATTTGAGGACCTCAACTCAACTATTAGTAAAATCAGCGAGACACGTGGCTTGAGTTGAGGTCCTCAGATTTTGACCCAGTCGGACTGGCGTTTTCTTCAGACGGTTCCCCCGGTTCCCCCCCGGTGATGTCCAGTGATTTGTCATTTAAATGATGACATAATTTGGAAGATCATATTTAATATACATATATAATCATATATATACATATAATTTAAACATAATCATATAATTGACATAATTTGTCATGTTCCACATTCAGATTGCCAATTTGTTCAAGGATGTTGAGACAAGCCGCTTAAAATGATTATAATAGGAACCCAGGGAATCGTGGGCTTTCAACCCAGAGTCTGACTTATGTACAATTGCATAGGTTAAAACTGCCTTAGAACTTATATACGACATATATATGACATATATACGACATAAAACCCGTCGATGGGTTGTGCACATCCTCGATCATGTTGGATCACTCCCAACTGGACGGTCTCCGACAGTTCAACAGCTCTAGATTCAGGTTCTTGGATAAATGCCCAGTACTGGACATTTCAGAAGTTCTACACAAATCCACAATTCTGGCCGACGGATTGGCTCTGCAGACTGATGCGAATAACTGTCCATCGTGCAAAACCACTTGAACCCTTTGGCGGCTTGCGTTCAGCTCAAGTGCAATGCGGTTGTGAATATCCACAGCCAGGTCAGAGCAATGTGTCCTTAAGCGCAAGACCTCATGCCCAGCTAAATTCCAGCATGTCAGCAGCGCTACATCATCTTCAGCAACCAAATCCAGTTGGAACACGTTGTCTTTGCCTGATGGTCCATGATCGCAGATGTAGCGGCGGCCGGAGGGTGCCATACTTAGAAGCTCCAGCCACGACTTCAGAGATGGAATCTGGCACTGACCAAAGTTCTTCATTCCAAAACCAACGGCACGACCATCACTTTGGAGAAGCACCGTATGAAAGCCACCGGCGGACACCTGGATGTATGACATTCCATCAGCTAAGCATGGAATGTTGCATTCTCCATTGGAATTGCTCCCACAAGCAACGGCGTGACCATCGCTCCGAAGAAGCACTGTGTGAAAACCACCTGCAGATACCTGGGTGTAAAAAAGGCCTTCATCCAACGGTGGAATACTGCATTGACCATAGATATTATGTCCACAAGCCACGGCAGTGCCATCACTTAACAGAAACACCGTATGAAATTCCCCAGATGAAACCTGAATGTACGACACTCCCTCGGCGATGCGAGGTATGTCGCATTGTCCATGGACGTTCCACCCAGAAGCTACAGCACTGCCATCACTCCGAAGAAGCACCGCATGAAATCCCCCTGCAGCAACATGGGTATAGCACATCCCCTGAGGTAAATCTGGAAGAATGCATTGACCATGAGAATTACTTCCGCAAGATTCCGCTTGGCCATCACTTCGGAGAAGCACAGTATGGCAGCCGCCTGCAGAAACCTGACAATGGCAGCTTGCTCCACTCCCATGCCATGGAATGTCGCACTGTCCAAACTCATTCCTTCCACAAGCCACGACATGGCCGTCGCTTCGAAGAAGCACGCTATGACCATTTCCTGCATCGACCTGGATGTAGGAGATTCCCTCATCCAGAGCTGGGATATTGCATTCTCCAAAATGATTCAATCCACAAGCGACAGCACGACCATCACTTCGAAGAAGCAGCGTGTGAGACTTGCCTGCTGAAACCATGGGTCAGCTAAGCAGTCTCAAAAAGACTGCCGTTGCTTGATGATTATAGAGTGGGGTTATACATAATATATATATATATATACCTAGGCCTTCCGCAGGCCGCTTTTTCAGCCCGAAGCTGTTCAGGCTGAAATTTTGGCCCGAATGGATTTTTTTCGCCTGGGGTGGTTTTTTCTGCCCGATTGTGTTTTTAGTGATTTTGATGATGTTTGGTTAAGATGCCCGCTCACACTATATATTGTTGATATATTGTTGATAACAGTGTTAAAGAAGTTTACTGTTTTACATGAAAATCTCATTTCGGGTGTTTTCGCCTGTTTCGTGGCTGTTTTCGTCCGTTTCGTGGGTGTTTCCGCCCGAAAAAAAAATAAAAATAAACACCAGCATAAAAAAACAGCGAACATCATCCACAGAGCATTTCTTTTCACCTGGATCGTCCACCAGGATCTTATCAGAATACCTCAAAATATGGATAAAATCACTTTCCGCCTGAGTTTTCAGTTTCCGCCGCAGGCTGATATTTGAGGTCAGGCTGAAATTCAGGCCCTTTGGAAGATACAGGTATATATGTACACTAGCCTATATAAGAATTTGAAGGAACATGTTCAGGACTTGATGGCCCGTAGTCTTTGGGGAATCCAATCATCAAAGGTTTTAGATAGCCGTTCAGCGGGTAGGCTTCTCCCAAAAAAAACATGGAGAAATGATCTGATATTGACCTGAAAGGGACTCCAAAAAAAGCCTTGAAAGCAGCAATCAGGTATAGCATGATATAGCTGGTATACCTATATCAAAAAAAACAACATGGCAACATCCCCCGTGCCTACAATGTCTCCGTTGAAGACGTAAGCCACCTGCAGGCTGGAACTTCGGGTTCCTGTAACCCAAATGACACTTGTTTGGAAGTTGTAAAGCCATTAAACGGAGGTTTAACCACCAAAGAGAAGCCGTCATATCATATATATATATATATGCATATCATATATATATATATATATGCATATCATATATATATATATATGCATATCATATATATATACATGTGCATATCATATTATATATATAAATATTGATTATGAATTATCTCTACATATGTATATATATAATTATGTGTGACATGATATTGCAACTTTGAAATTATGCTGAATTATGGTGGAATCGTGTTGATTCACCTGGAACTGATGGAACCAGTTCCAGCATCAAATTGTCGCCAGCATTTCTGAAAGACGAGAATGGACGGCCAAAAATGGTTTGGCTACCATCACCATGACCATATTATGGGTGGTATAAACATGTATAAACCATCCCAAATGGTACCCTCTGGTGAACATACAAAAAGCAATTGAAAATGGCACAGTCGAAATAGTAATTTTCCCATTAAAAATGGTGGATCTTTCCATAGCAAAATCTTAGTTCACCAGAGGGTAGGTTCAGTGTTGAGTTTACCAGTTTACCACCCCGCTTTTGATGGTTGCACCGCCAGATGTTGGTCACGGTCACGAATCTCTGTTGGTCCATCGTTGAATTCCGTCGTGACTTCAGAAGCTCTGGTCTCACCATAACATGGAAATGAGGAAACGGGAAGAGGAGGCCGTTTCCAATGATATCTATTTACTTTCTATATATATATATATCTCTGGGTAAATTATAATAATTCACTAACCTGGGATGATTTGGCCATTTGGGGATGATTTCCCTTACTAACCATGATTCCAGTGAGATTTACCCAGATATATATATATATTCAAATATATTCCATATTAATACTTCCTATTCTATGTTCTATAATTACATGTCTGTTCCATGATTTCCTTCGTGAAATGTGACCAGTGTTGGCAACAAGAAAACGCGCGAGTCGGAGTCGCCTCTTCAGAGGGAGGCCCGTGTTCTTCAAAGACGTGAAGTATGTCCTGGCCGAATCCTCGTCCCAGCTATGACATACGGTATAACCCACTTCTATACATAATGGTATATATATATATGTATATTTCATTAAATATATATATATATAGATAGATATTATCTATAGTCTACATCGGATATTGCCCGTTTTTGATGATCAAAACCACATACCTGTATCCTTCCTTCGTTATATGGTTCCATGAATCCCAGTGTTTTGCAATGCGGCTGGCTACCTGTAGCTGTCCATGGAGGTCGCCCACCACCACCAGGCGTCGGTCATCACCTACCTAGCCAGGGAAATATCAAGCGGTTCTGAGTAAAGTATAATTCTTATATGGAGGTTGCTATACATGATATTCTTTGGGATCATATCCAGAAATGTTGGAATAGAACTCCAACCACATATATTCTTGGTATGTGTCTAGATATATGGAGGTTTCCTAAGTCATGGGGGTACCCCTAGTTATCATCCATTTTAATAGGATTGTAAATTATAAACATCCAGCTATTGGGGTACCCCAATTTTAGGAAACCTCCATACGTTCTTATAGTTCTAATACAACAGATCCCTTTTTTAGACTCGTAATCAGCATCTGATAGGAATTATCTGATAGTAAGTATAACACAATAGATTTCTATCATAAGGTCATTGTAGTTCTAAAAAACAGATCCCCATGGTAGTTGTTTGGAAACCATCCCGCAAAACGATGATGATTATGGCAGAATGTCCAGGGCCAAAAACTACTCTAATATCTGTTTGGGGGTGCTATAAATAAATGGGTTTCATGAAAAAATAAGGAACATCATGTTGTCAAAATGTATATCATACTTGGGTTTAATCAATCTACAAATCAAAAAATGGATTGAATAGATCTAATTGGGACTTGTATAATCAGAAAGGTACATTGATAAATGAACCGTCCTAATTGGTTGTCTAAGTTCAAAACTGATAAGTCACTTTGTTGGAAAATTCCAAAGATTTTTTTAAAGCTACAATTGGATCTACTTGGGCAAATCCCTGAATTTCGAAAAGAGGCTTTCCCGTACTTTCGTATTTATATTGGTGGTTCAACCCAGTTATAGTAAGTTAGCTCACTCCAGTTCCATAAGGTAAGTAAGGCTAGTTCAGTTGTAACATGTCCTGGGGCGGACTAACCCAATTCGCCTCCGATCATCAAACATGGCAAAAAAAAAAATCAATGATTCTCCCACTGCAAATTCATGGAGGATTTCCCCACTGTCCCCATGTTGGATTCCCATCCGGAGTCGGGTTTTCAGAAGAGGAAACCCCCGAGTTTTCGCCGCCAGGATGTTCCGACATCCGCAACCTGAGGTAGGCTCACGTCCAACACCGGGGATTTTAGAGCCTGGCGTCCAACATTTGTGGGCGATGGCACCTGTGAATGGAAGGTATACAAATCATGTCAACATATTTAGAATGTCACAAAGTTGAATATAGCGCGATCTATGTATACTATATATATATATATATTATACACAACATGCAACACAAATATATGTATATGTATACATATATATATATATGTGGGTGTGTCTGTGTCATATGCGTACCCATAACCCAGAACATGGAATGAACTGCGACTAAGCTCTGGGTAGTTGTGAATTCAACATCTGCAGGGACTGGGAGTCATTGATGGACCAGCGATGTACCATGAAGGGAACAGTTGTCAGTTGTAATGATGAAAAAAAAAACAGATGAAAGCACATTGGATATAATTCCGGAAATCTGGTTTCACTAGGCTTGGATTGAAAAAATTGCGGTTTGAGAATAATCAAAGCTACAGATAGATTCAGATAGATCATAGTACTTGGATTTCCTTAAGGTTCCCATCCTCCCAACTAAAAACATATGGATTCCTGAACTTCAACGTATTTCACATTGGGAAAATTGAAAAACAAATCACCTTCAACAATACCCATGCAGAAAACCTACTTAACATGTGTTCCATGATTTTTCCCGGGATTTTCACATTAAAATTAAAACCTCCATTGCGGTGATTTCTCATTGCTATCCCCCGTGGATCTCTCCAATCGTCTGAGAGGTCCGGCCTGCAATTCCCCCTCCATGGCTATCACCATGTCCTCTGCCTACAGATTCACAGGTGATTGGGCCAAGAAATCGGACAATTTGAATGGTGATATGATGGGATATGTATGTATGTATGTATGTATGGTATGGTATGGTATGGTATGGTATGGTATGGTATGGTATGGTATGTATGTATGGTATGTATGGTATGTATGGTATGTATGGTATGTATGGTATGTATGGTATGTATGGTATGTATGGTATGTATGGTATGTATGGTATGTATGGTATGTATGGTATGTATGGTATGTATGGTATGTATGGTATGTCTGGTATGTATGGTATGTATGGTATGTATGGTATGTATGGTATGTATGGTATGGTATGGTATGGTATGGTATGTATGTATGTATGTATGTATGGTATTGTATGTATGTATGTATGTATGTATGTATGTATGTATGTATGTATGTATGTATGTATGTATGTATGTATGTATGTATGTATGTATGTATGTATGTATGTATGTATGTATGTATGTATGTCATGTATGTATGTATGTATGTATGTATGTATGCATGTCATGTATGTATGTCATGTATGTATGTATGTATGTATGTATGTATGTATGTATGTATGTATGTATGTATGTATGTATGTATGTATGTATGTATGTAATGTATGTATGTTATGTATGTATGTATGTATGTATGTATGTATGTATGTATGTATGTATGTATGTATGTATGTATGTATGTATGTATGTATGTATGTATGTATGTATGTATGTATGTATGTATGTATGTATGTATGTATGTATGTATTAATGTAATGTAATGTAATGCAATGTAATGTAATGTAATGTAATCGATGTAATGGATGTAATGTATGTAATGTATGTAATGTATGTAATGGATGTAATGTATGTAATGTATGTAATGGATGTAATGGATGTAATGTATGTATGTATGTATGTATGTATGTATGTATGTATGTATGTATGTATGTATGTATGTATGTATGTATGTATGTATGTATGTATGTATGTATGTATGTATGTATGTATGTATGTATGTATGTATGTCTGTCTGTAATGTATGTAATGTATGTAATGTATGTAATGTATGTAATGTATGTAATGTATGTAATGTATGTAATGTATGTAATGTATGTAATGTATGTAATGTATGTAATGTACGTAATGTATGTGATGTATGTAATGTATGTAGTGTATGTAATGTATGTAATGTATGTAATGTATGTAATGTATGTAATGTATGTAATGTATGTAATGTATGTAATGTATGTAATGTATGTAATGTATGTAATGTATGAATGAATGTATGTATGTATGTATGTATGTAATGTATGTATGTATGTATGTATGTATGTATGTATGTATGTAATGTATGTAATGTATGTAATGTATGTAATGTATGTAATGTATGTAATGTATGTAATGTAAGTAATGTATGTAATGTATGTAATGTATGTAATGTATGTAATGTTGTATGTATGTATGTATGTATGTATGTATGTATGTATGTATGTATGTATGTATGTATGTATGTATGTATGTATGTATGTATGTATGTATGTATGTATGTATGTATGTATGTATGTATGTATATAATATACACACACCTACGTGTATATATATATATATATTTATAGCTATATATATATATTTATTGGGATATGTGTCATGTCTCTATAAATCTTTGTATCTATCCATCTGTAAACCGATATATCTGTATATATATATATATGTGATCCATATTTCTCGTCAGTGAACCTAAATGTATTTATAAATCTCTATGTATACATATATATATGTATATATGAAATATGTATATACAGTAATATGTTGTTTGTCTGCATGGGATTGAAGATGGGATTCATGTTGGATAATGGGTTTGGTGATGGTAATGGATTAATATCATCAAATATTGGTGGTGGTGTGGATCAAGTATCGTAAACGATCTATAGATCTACTTTTTAAATATTTATAGAACTGTATAGACCTACACCACTTCTGAGACGGTTGACTTGCATCATATCAACCCCAGTATTTCCATATTACAAGTTCAACTTGTGTATCATGTCAAACGCAGATTAACAAACCGCATGATTTGTTACTTTGGGGGGTCCGGAAACCAGTTTGAACTTGGCGGCATTTGCTCCTCATACCGTATCCAATAGAACCAGTAAATGAGGGTTTTCTCATCCAGGATTGACAGAATATGTATACATACGTAAATATGCATCTGTATATACATACATAAATAATTAATTAATTAATTAATTAAATACATATATATATATATGTATATGTTTATGTACCTATGTAAATATATATATATGTAATGGAATCAGTGTCACTTTTTGGGAAGTCATACCTTTGGGATTTCCAATGTCAAGAAACAATAAGAAGTATACCCATAGTGGCAGCTGGTGAGTTTTAATATCCCATGCTGGGGAAATCTGGCAAACTTTGATGGCCAAGTATGTTTGATTAATTTTTGGTTTGTTAAATCCCATTTGAAATCCGGGTTTGACAGGCCCCAGATTCAGCCATGCTGGGATTCCTCATCCACAATGGTTACATCCTCATTCCTTTGACTGGTCTTGACATTGATCTTTATCAGTTCAGGTTCCCACACATTGTCGATTTCGTTTTCGGTTTGACGCCGCTTCTTTCTAGCCAAACAAAGTCGTCATTTTCCAATGCTGGTCTATCCCGCTTGATGATTTCCCTTGATGATTTCTGGTAACAACCATTTTATGTATATGTATGTATATAAAAACATATACTATACACCATATATTTCCAGGCATTTTTTATTTTACAGGATGGGCATCCCCGCATATTTTCATCGTTTTTTTTTGGGTAATTATCCGATATCCAGTAACGTTTGGAGTTGCTAACCAGAGAAACTCACCTCAAGGCCCTGAAGGCCCTCAAGGCCCATTCCGGAAGTCCCCAGGCTCTTCCTCTTCTGGTCCTTGCACTTGGTTCACATGCCGCTCCAAGTGCCGGCGGCCTACGAACAGAAGCGCCTTGGTGCCGGGGCCGGGCTGGGCTATGTCGAAAGTTGGGAGTGGTAAGTTTGAAGATGAGGAAAATGGAACAAAGGGGGGGAAGGAACCAAGGTTTTTTGACTTTGGGAGAATTTGAGCAATGGGAAAGATTGGAATTCAGCCAGCAGAAAAGCATCAAATTCAGCCGGCAAGAACAACCGGGACAACCTGGGCAATGTGAACCTTTACCGCTTGTTTTCATGTTTAAAAGATTCTGTGCGGCAATCATCGGGTACCTGCACTTCCAGGTTAAAGAAAACATCAACAGAACTAACAAGAACTGACCGCAGCACATAGTCGCAAGTTTTCTTTCATGGCGGGCCAACTCCATGACATAACCCGTTTCCAGGTATTTAAAGGCCAGACATCGTCAAGATCTAGAATGAACCCCAAAAAGCTGATGATACTAAGATTGCTGGTTGGCGGATCTTCCACATTCGGCTGCTAAAGATCAAATTTCCCTATTTCGCTCGGTGCTCCAGCAACCATCCACTATCAGAACAGTTTCCGTGCCACTCCCCACCTATTTTGATTCGTGCTGAGATGCCAGAAGGATTGAGATTCGTGGTTAGTAGGCTATATCCCATCCCAGTTCTCTTGTGGGGTCAAATTCGCCACAACATCTATAGCACCCCCAAAAAGATAGGCAACCATTCACAACGTTTCCCGGGACCCCTGGCGTGGCCGAGGTTTTCCTTCATCAAGGACAAGCACCGGCGGCTGATGCACGCCATGGTGCACTTCATGGATGAAGAAATTGGAGAGATGGTCCAGCTATTGAAGGACCACCGGTGGATGAGCCAAGGTGAAGGCCATTGTTTGTTGGGATAGAACCAATACAAATTATGGTCACATAACCACTGCACTGCCAAGTAGTCATGGCTTTAGGGCTGTTTGTGGGTGTCTAGTGGAAAGATCTGGGAATATTGGATACTGTAAGTTTCACCCCAGCTGACAAGTGATCTAATGGGTATTTAACCATCATTTATTACAGAAGTTGTGGGCTTTAATCATCAAACATATAGGAATATCGTTGCTAGATGTTTGGTTGATGATTATAGAGGGGTTATACTACTACAAAGTTATATGCATAACCGCATAACTATGTACAATGTAAATGTATATATATATATATATTACATAGAGAGAGAGAGAGAGACAATAACGCACACACACACACACGCATACATATTATACATCTACACGCATATGCCTTTCTCTGCAGGAGAGGCAGATGTGGAACAACAGCTTGGTTGTCTTTCACAGCGACAATGGGGGAGAGATCATCTTCAAAGGCAGGAGCCGCGTCAGATGTGGGTAGAGGTCAAAATTGGGTACCCCAATAGTAATGAAAATAATAATAATGAATAATCATGAATAATAATAATAGTAATAATAATAATAACAATGATAATAATAATAAATAATAAATCATGATAATAATAAGCTTCGGTAGTATCCCCAACAGCCGCAACGTTTTATTTTTACAAATCTTTCTGAAGCGTGCTGGGAAGCCAAGCTCTGGAAACACCTCAGCTGATTTTCTGTGAATTAAATGAGCCTGACCTGGCGTGGCTTCTGCAACCTTCTCCGGAACCTTCTCCAGAACCCTGTTGAACCTGACCTGGCTCTGCACCAAAGCCTCCCGGAGCCTTCTCCGGAACTTTCTCCAGAACCCTGTTGAACCTGACCTGGCTCTGCACCAAAGCGTCCCGGAGCCTTCTCCGGAACCTAGCCTCCCAGACCTTCTCCGGAACCTTCTCCGAAACCCTGTTGAACCTGACCTGGCTCTGCGCCAAAGCCTCGGCTTTGCACCAAGTCTTCCTGGAACCCTGTTGAACCTGACCTGGCTCTGCACCAAAGCCTCCCGAAGCCTTCTCTGGAACCTTCTCCAGAACCCTGTTGACCTGAACCAGACCTGGCTCTACACCAAAGCCTCCCGAACCTTCTCCGGAACCCTGTTGAACCTGACCTCGCTCTGCACTAAAGCCTCCCATTGCAGACCTTCTCCTGAACCTCTCCGGAGCCTTGTTGAACATGACCTGGCTCTGCACCAAAGCCTCCCAGACCTTCTCCGGAACCTTTTCCGGAACCCTGTTGAACACCTCCCGGAGCCTCCTCCGGAACCTTCTCCGGAACCTTCTCCAGAACCCTGTTGAACCTGACCTGGCTCTGCACCAAAGCCTCCCAGACCTTCTCTGGAACATTCTCCAGAACCTTCTCCGGAACCCTGTTTGAACCTGACCTTCTCCGGAACCTTATCCAGAACCACGTTGAACCTGACCCGGCGCCTGCACCAGTGCACACCGGAGCTATTCTGGGCTGAAGACCCCCTTAGCGTACGCTGTTGGGGAATATTGGACTGTTAATACTAAGCATACACAAAAATCTGTTGTCCCATTGGGCTTAAATCTAGACCCACCCCCTTGTGTTTGATGGTAATACAGTATAGCAACCCCAAAAAAGATGGCGAACATCATTGGTTCCAACATGTGAAGCAGATTATATTTACCTCACATCTCCAGGTTTCCAGCCTTTCCATCCATTTTTTTAGGGATACAGTATAGTTTCTTGAGTGGATTGTTAAATGGAGTGGTGGGCATAGAACACTAGTCTACAGTGGGTAGTCAACTGCATTGAAGTACTCACTACTTGGATGTGCATCTCACTTGGTAAGTGGTTTATAACCCATAAATAACCCATTACGCAATCTAACTGGCGACATCTCGTTCATCTAAGTGTGTTTTTCCATGTTGGGAATAAAGATGCCCCACTTAGTTTAGGATGATGGTCAAAAGTTCAGCAAGCTGGTTGAACCCCCACAATAGATCCCACCCACTTCACCAGGTTTGAGCCGAAACTAGCCATTGTTTTGCACCAACTCCCGGATGATCTCGCAGACGGTGCAAGGCATTTGCGGTGGAAACAACTGGCCCTTGCGCGGAGGCTTTGGAAGCTTCACCCCCCCAAGAGATGATGCAGCCAGGGCAGTTTCGTTTTTTTCTCGAATGATTTTCTATAGCAAACTGTAAACATTTACCAGAGGGTAACTTTGGTCACGAAGAGCTGCAGATGATCGGCCACCAGAGTTTGGAACCGCCAGGCAAGTTTTCCAACTTTGAGGGGGGCATTCGCCGCTGAGATCAAAAACGACGTTTTTGGATCCGAAAAACCAGCTTAGCATGTGGAGGTTTTACACATCTGAAGACATTTGGGGTATATAAAAATCTCACCACCCGAGTACAAAATCATGGTTTCGGGCGTAAATTACGGGATTGGGATTGTTGATCCCTACCCAGATTTGGCCAACTAACCATGTCTGGTCCCCGTGAAACTGAGAATCCACCACTTCCTGGCCCAAGTCCATGACCCTGTTGGGGGGTAGACACCCACCGAACTGGGCCACATTTCTGCGGGACGATGTCGGGAACGTCGAGCAACTCATGGGAAGCCTTAGACTTTCACCATGGTTTGGGCAACGGAAGCCTTGTTGGGCTCACTTCAGATTGGTATACTCCATTTTTTCACGTCTCATCCAGATATCAAACTGAACAGATGCCATTTGCAACCCATGACCAAGCCGACAAAAAATGTGGAGTGAACATCCCGTAGATGGTGTATCTCTTTATTCCGGAGATGTTTTTTTACGATCTAATGGCCACCGCCAGTAGAAATGATACTTAGCAATATGGGGGAACCATCCATTCATTTGATGGCGTTGGAACAGTGAATACCTTGATGCGGCTTGAGAATTTGTCGCAACTCATCCAGAAATGCATCAAACACCACCATCTGGTTGGTGGTTTCAACCATTTTTTATTTTCCATTTCATATATGGGATGTCATCCTTCCCATTGACTTTCATATGTTTCAAGATGGTTAAAGCCACCAACCAGCCATGATATTCCCCCCTGTACCATTGAAGTCCCCATGGGTTTTATGGTGAAAGCCGCGGGCCGTTTCGATCCACCAAGGAGTGAACGCCTTTGTGACAGGTGGTTGGGTGCCAGAATCTCGTACCAGCGCCCAGCACGGATCGGGGGATGGGAGCTGTCCTGGAAAAAGTGGAATGACCTCCTCTATGCATACATACATACATACATACATACATACATACATTCAGACATACATACATACATACATACATTCAGACATAGACATTCTCACAGGATTTCACCCAACATCTGCATCTTCCATTGGGCGCGTCGCGGCCCCAGGTCGCGGTCAGAAGTTGGAGGGTCTTGTGACGGCATGGGACTGGCGCCTTGGTTTTCTGGGTACCCCGCTGGATGGTGGGTTTCCAACGGAAAGTTATCCAATTTCGTAAGGGATGAATCCAAATCGGATAGCTATATAAAATCTTTAAAAATATGGATGGAGAGTTAGTATCTACTATATGTCCGAACTTTGGGAGTACCACAAGCCTTTAGGAAGATTTTTTTGAATATGGATGGTTTGTATGAGGTTCCCAGTGAAAGGCCGTATATTTGAGATTACTGAATTATTTTAAGCTAGCCAGAAATATGGAGAATGGGGATGTAGACTGTAGACAAAATGAATGGAGGATGGGATTAACATATTAGCAACCCCAATATTTTTAGACCTGTAAAACCTCCAGATGGTACGGATTTTAGGATTTTTAAGCTCCAGATGGCGCTTGAAATCGACCAACATTCTCATCCTGCCAGGTATGCCACCTATGCAGCACTGGCAGGGGTCGATCCTGAGGATCACCAGGCGGCAGATTTCAAGTTGCCACCACTCGATTCAAAGGTGCCGTGGTGCCCTGGGAGATCTTGCGGTGTTTCACAAAAAACTCTATGAATTGTTGGGGATGTAGTGATTGTAAACTGGGACAACTGGGATTTGTGCTTGTTGTAAACTTCAGTTTCTTGTTGGCAAACTTGGGATTTAGGGTGCAAAAGTGGGCATTTCAGCAGCTATGGATCTCATTTCGCTAGCAGAAATCGAAAATGGGAATCGAAAGAATGTGATAGACTGTGATAGATATGGTGGTTTCCTAAAATGTGGGTACCCCCAAATCATCCATTTATAGATGGGATTTTCCATTACAAACCATCCAGCTATTGGGGTACCTCCATTGATGGAACCCCTATATGTTTCGCCAAATTATTGAGAATGTCTTGGGTCACAGGCTGGACAAACCCACACAATTTATATCATGCTGACCTTATGTTTGACCTCACCACAAGTGATGGTTGATATGAAGGGGAGGCCATAGAGCCATAGACTCTCTGGATGGTACGGAAGTGCTGGGGCTAACCCCCTGGGCAGTTGGGTATACTCTGCAAACTATCTGGAAAGTTCACCGTCTCCATGTTCATTGCAAGAAATGAATATGGGAAAGCAAAAAGGATACCCTCTGGTAATTTAACATAGCTATTGAAAATCACCATTTTTAATGGGAAAATCCACTATTAATGGTAATTTTCAATAGCAAATTGTTAAATTACCAGAGGGTAACACTGACTGGGCAGATTTTCCAAATCACGACGGGGTTTTTCAGTGAAAAATACCACTCAACACCATCCCGTTACCCCCCAAGTCCCAACTATGTGTGATAATTATCTATTGAAGAAAGGTATCCCTCACCAATTAAACGGCAGGTGAGTCAACATCCCAGCTCGACATTCTCAAAAATAGTATGAACATATAACATCAATGATTTCCATGATTTTCCATAATGTGGGATACCGATCAGTGTCAATGGCCTCTATTGTGAGACAAATCCCCAAAATAATTGAGGATTTTCAAATACTTTGAAAAGAACCCAATTGTGAGAAGTTTTTTCTCAGATCCAAATTTTTCCAGGAGGAGCTTTAATCCACCTTTATACACCTTTCTTTGGGTAAAGCTGGTCCATTTTCTTTAGAAAGCCATATGCATGTTAAAGCCTTGAAAATGCAAGGTTTCCCAAATAATTAGATGCCTTATTAAGCCCTTATCAAAAAACAGCTCCCAAACAATTTTTCAAGGGGGTACCCCATGAGTGACCCAGATCCTCAATAATGTAATTGTTTCCATGGTACCCTGTTGTGCACAAAAACTTTTGGGGTGAGAAAAACACAAAACCTTTTATCCACCTCATTCCAACATTTCTTATAGACATCAAAGTTATAACTCATTTCTTATAGACATCTAAGTTATAACTATTCTTTTTTTTCCCACCGTTTTTTTTCCCAAGCCGCAGCCGCCAGGACGTTTGGCCCTGGCTCTCCGGCGCGGCAGCCGCTTCGCCACGGGAGGAGGTGGTCATCGGCGAAACCTCCGCGCACACGCCCAACGGCGACGGGCAGACCGTCGTCGGGGGGGTGATCCGTGGCAGGTGGGGATGGGGTGATCCGTGGGTGCTGGGGGTGGGGGGTGATGTGGGTGATGTGGTTTTTTTTATTTGGGGAATGATAGCTTTGCTTGAGAAGTTCGATTTTTTTGGTGGGAAGATTGGGAGAAGTTTGAGTGTTTTGGATCTTTCTGGATGATTTTGCGGTAAAATCTCGCATTTTTGGGGCTATACAGTGATGGGGATTTCGTTAGCCAACGATGGTCAAACTGCTGTTTCTGTAGGGGACTGCAGCCATGTAATATATTCCATTTCGAATCCACTGTAAAGGAACCACACAACACACAACTGGGGAAGTTTAATTGGCATGTGGGAAGTTTAATTGGCCCCAATGAATTAATTAAGAGGAATGGGTGGGATTTCAAATGCATTGAATTTACATGAATTTACCACATTAAACGATACTGTGTAGTATAAAATGGTTAACAATGGGGTTTTGCCAACCATTCGTTCATAATTGGGTGACAACCCACAACATATCCCATTTGTGAGAGACAAAATCGCGCAACCACCAGCTACTAAGCATTCAGCATCTTTCATGGATCCAATGAAGGGATTCGGGCTACGAAATTGCACCTCTAAAGGCTGGATGTTGAGCAAATGCTCGAGATAATTTTGGTTCATATCCCATGACGGATCCATGGTGCTGCTATATACTATATATGGTGCTCCATGGATCCCATGAATATACCCCATTTATGTTGGCATATATACCAGCACCATGGATCCGTCATGGGTATGTCAATGAAATGTTACGAAACCGCTGAAGGTGACGAGAGTCGGCGTTTGTAGCAGTGACTTGCCACGAAGACTGACCAGCTGAAGGAGTAGTTTGACCCCGATCTTTTTTAAGCACATTTCATCGGGACAAGGCCATAAAAGGGTGATGTTCCAAGTTGTTACCGCCTTCAAGTTGGCTTTCTGCAGCTTCACCATTTTTCCATATTTTTCCCAAGAATTCCCATGATTTCAGAGCACCGTGGGACCTCTGGGACCCTCTGGGACCCCAGATACAAGCTGCTGCTGGGCGTGGACGCGCACAAGTGGAACTCCATGTTCCTCACCCGCCAGGTGAGTCAAAATGTTCCTGGGCAAAACGGTGACGACTTACGGATCCCCCATTGAAAGAGAAGCCCCGACAAGTGATATACCGTCTGGTAATTTGTTAGATAGCTATTGAACATGGCCCATTTATACTGGATTTACCTACCAAAGATTATGATTTCCATAGTTATGTAAACGTTTACCAGAGGGTAATGTTAGTAAAACAATAATAAACCACTCATATGGATTGATGATTGATGGTTTATGCCACCCATAACGGTGATTTTGGGGTCGTTTACAATTGCTTTAATCACATTATACCAAGAACTGAGTGCTTGGCCATGATCCTTGCATACAGGTTCCAAGTCATGTGGATGAAATCAGTGCACCCATATTATATACTCCGATAGCCCTTGAACTTAGCAAATGAATGCAGATGGGGAAATGGTATCCCAGTTCTCAGGGATTAATGTGGTAAACCTACCAATAAACAAAAAAACATCATGGACCAATAAACCATGTTTCTTCTCCCTTCTTAACCCCCAAATCTGGCTTGTTGTGTTTTATTTACCAAACATTTCCCCAAACTTCACCGGATTCCCCACTGCCAGGGGCCCGGCCCGTCTTTCCCCCCAGGTGATGACGGGTCCTCAATGGCCCAACAGCAGCAGCCATTTGATCCCCATGCTGCACCCCCGGCACTGCGGACGACAGCCGGAGCACGGCTGCCTCTTTGAAGCTTGGCACGGCTGGCCCCACTGGGAGGCCATGGCCATGAAAAAGGAGGATCTATTACATATTATGATATACATATATATATATATATGTATAATGTGCAAACATATGATATATTATACACATGTAATATTTACACATATATAATATATATATATTCATATATACAGTATGTATATGATATTACATATATATACACACATGCAAAATTGATGAAGCAATGAACATTATGGGATGACTAACAAATCATGGACACATAAGTAGGTATATCTACTTGGTCAACATGGCCTTTGAACCCCATAAATCGGGGAGAAATATGAGAACTCTGGGGGAAGGGAACGTGGATGATGTTAGTGGATTATTCTTTTCGCAACGTCATTCAATTTATCTTTATCTTTACCACACGGAACTTTAAAGGTTTACACCTGGACACCTGGACACCTGGAGGTTTCGCTTCCAAAGGAACCAGGGAACAAAAACTTCGCTGGAACCATCCCTGCAGCCGTTTCGTGAACCCAACATGTTTCATCATTTTTCGATGTGATTTCGCCATGTTTCGTCTGGCCCTTGCTGCGGTGCTGTCACTGGGCCTGGCCTGCCAGGGGGATGAGTGCGATGCCTCGTCGTTGCTGCACATGAGCCGGGACAAGGACGTTCCAAAGAAGTTACCAAAAGGCTGCACACATGGAATTAAATGCGAAAATGGATCATGCAGGTGGGACGATGTGGTTGGCTCGGCGGAATGCAAACAAGGAAACAAGGAAAACACAAGAATTGTGATCCAACTATAGAGCCGAAACAGCCAACAAGCGAAAACATATGAACCCATACGAAAACGTCCGGCAAACCTAGCGATGGAAATTTGTTTTCCTTTTTTTGAGCCACACATGTGGACGTCTTACCCATGTTGATCTATCTTGTTGGGGTTTCGTGAATGCGCAAGGGGCTTCCTGCATTTTGCAGGTGTGCGAAGCCTGGAGAAATTGAGAGGATCAGAGAGGATATGCTCAAGAAGGTGCAATGGCTGCCATATGGTCCCAAATCTGGGGGATTTGGGGTTTTTCACCCACGATGACCCATGGGTTGTCAGGATTTGTCGAAACACACGTAAAAGGATCGGTATATCCAGGGCTTTCCAAGAACATCTCTTTGAAGTTGAAGAGATCAGAAATTGGGGTACAGATGGACATGATGGATACTGTATATCCATGCAATTTTCGGTATGGACGCCAAATGGACTTGGAGACAAGCCTGTGACCCAGCTGATCAGCGTGGGTTTTCACGCCATCCATGGGCAATTTTTTTCTAGAAGGTGAGGCTTCCCAGTTATAGTTGGTTTATAAATCCATGAACCATAGATTAACCATTATTAACCATAGATTAACCATTATTAACCATAGATTAACCATTAGTTAAGCAGTTATAGGTCGACTTTGCTAGGGGGCCTCACCTTGCAGAAAAAAGAGTAGATTTGCAGCGAAGGCTCAGCGAAATTCAGTGTGCTGAAACATATGTCATTGTCCGAAAAATGGGGGTTTCATCGTTTTTTTTAAAATCCAATAGTTAGAAAAACAGATTAGTTTCCACCCCTCAATATTAAACAACTCAACAACTCCCGTTCTATGGTCCCTAAGATGTAATTTCATCATATTTCATCCCCTATTCAACCATGGTTTCTTGCTGTTTACGAACGGATGATGGGATCCGTATTTCACAAGGCCACGACGAGGTTTCATGATCCCAGCAGATGGCTCATGTTTGGACTTCCCATTACATCCATTTGTCAATCATCATCGGCTTTACCCATCAAAGTGGCCATGTTTTGTGGAGGTCTTTACCATCAACAATTGGACGAAGCCAAAAAAAGTCATGCCGACGTCCTCATCTGTGGATATCTGTGGTTCAATTCTCCATTCTTGATCATGTTTGTAGACATGACCATGATCTTTCTATCAGATATCCAAATTATTGTCCAATGATTGTTTTGGGTTGTCCCTAAGAAAATTACCATGATTTTTGCTGGCTTTAACCCAACTTTCCCATAAAATTAACACGCATCGCACAAAATATGGAATTAAGTCACCCAACATACTACATAAATATTCCATGGAATTACCAACATATGGAATTAACACATATCGCACAAAATATGGAATTAAGTCACCCAACATACAAATATTCATTCCATGGAATTAGCAAACTATGGAATTAACACATCTCGCACAACATAGTTTGCTAATTCCATGGAATGTATGGAATTACCAACAAAAAAAATATGGAATTACCAAAAAATCTATGGAATTAGCAAATTCCAAGTCCCAAGTCCCAAATCTCCCAACCAAAATCGCTCCTGCAGGCGGGAAAGACCGCAACTCCAGCGACTTCCCAGGCGTCGATTTCACGAGGGGATTTTCCCACCATTTTTTACGGTTGATCCTGGAGATTTAACCAACAAAACATAAGGATTTGACCAAAAAAAATGGTGCTATGATGGGGATACATTGGGATATACCCTCTGGTTATTTAACATAGCCATGGTATAGATGGCCCATTTATAGATGATTTTCCCATTAAAACCTCCATTTATAAGGGATTTTCCATGGCTATGTTAAATAACCAGATGGTAACTATATACAACTGATGGGAAAATCACCATTGTTGATGGATCTAGAAATGGGCCCTGTAATGGGCCCTGTTCCATAGCTATGTTGGATTACCATGTTGGGTATAATTTCCTTCCCCAAAAAGGTAGAACATTTTCAATTGGTCACTGTTAAAAAGTGGAATTCTATTTTTTGGTAGTGTTTTTATGTGTTTTTGGGGTCTGCTATAATATTATTATTCATTATTTATTTTTATAATTATGTTGTCATTAATGCCATTATTGTTAATAATGCTGTTACGGTTACATATTTGTATTGTTATCACTATTGTCGTTATTATGCGCAATTTATTCCATTTTATTATATGATCTTTTCAACGGTGTCTCAGATTGGCCCAATCCACAAAGGTTCTGGCAATCAGGGGCTATCCATTTGGGAAGGGGGTACCCACCCATTTCCAGGTGTAGAATCGGTGTGATCGATTTTCTTGCAATCCCTTGAAAACAAAGCAGAAAAAACCACACGGCCAGAACTTGTGCTATGCCCCAATGTCTATTCGGACAATCCTCATCTTATATGGCGCTGCCAGCCCTTTGAGTCAAAGTGCTGTTCCTGAAATGTTCATGCGCTCGGTATTCCCTGAATTAGCGAAGTCACATCCGCAAGAAACTTCCCATTTTGAAAATCTTCGAATGCAAAATCCCACCTGCAAGTCAGCCTGCAAGTGAAGATTCTATTCCCTTATGTGAAAGCAAGTAGCATCCCCTTTTCTTCCCTTTGAAGGTCTTCAATGAATATCAAGATGGCCAAGTGATTCACTTTTCGGGGGGCACACGTGCCACACGTGCAAGATTTAAATATCCCTCAGAAACCCTGGTTGAGTATTGGATCTATTCATCTATAGGGGTTCCTTATTATTTTATTGGGTCATCAGGCTGCTGGGTCAAAGAAGGTTGGGTAACGGGTAACGATGGTTTAACAAAAGCCATGAGTTAGGATATACCCCATGGTAAACTAACATACTGTAACTATGGAACATCACCATTTATAGCTGGGTAAATCCACTCTAAATGGCAATTTTCAATAGCGAACTGTTAGTCATTACCAGAGGGTAATAGAATGTAATAGATATATAGAACCTCTATATACAACGGCGGTGATATCCCCACTTGATTCTTCGTGGAAATGGAACCCCGAGTTGTTGCCCAGTTGGCTCATAGGTGTCCCGCAACATGATGGTAAACCCAGGGCTCTGGGCCATGTATCGCCAGTTTGGGGCTGATGATTGGCCAATGGATTTAGAGAGACCCTATTTTCAAACAAAATCAAAAAGGGGAATTCTTTGCGATTGTGTACATCCCCATAGTCATTGGAAAATCCTCATGTTGGTTTGTCTCGGCTTACTTTTTCTTCACAAACAATTCACCAGCGAATCGTTGTGCGACGATCCCTGGGTTTAACGGTGGCACCCATGGTTCAAGTCCCCGAACCAATGGGTCAAGTCCCCGATGTTCGCAGGGAGCGCCAAAGGCCGCCGGAGTCCCTTTGACGGCCGGTTTTTCGTTTTTTTTTTTTTTTTTCGGAAATTCACCAAGAAAATATGGCTATACAGCTATCCATGATATAGTCATAATTGATGACAACCTGACAAAAATAGAAATGATGTTTAGTACAAGGAACCTTACCAAAATCAGCTATTTTATTGGTGAACTCATATGATTTACTGTACCCAGATATACGCACTTTTTTTTTTGCCTATATTCAGACAAAGCCACATCACGGCAATGCACCAACGAACATGGGATGCACATGATTCGACAAACAAGAAATGAGGATGCACATATATATATATACTGTATATATATATGTATATATATATATATATACACACTATATATATATAGATATATAGATATATACATATTGTATATATATATATACATATACACCTTCCAGTGTCATGAAGCGTGACTTGCTGGAAATCCATCATTTGGTTCGATAATTGTTCCAGCTGTAAACCTCCATTTTTAGGGTATTTTCCATTGCCATGTTTGATTCCCGGAGGGTATACATATAGTCATCCTGGAGTAGATAGAAATTCCGGATATTTCAACAACCTCAGTCACTGGGACGTTTTTTTCTCCATATTCTATACACATATTTTTATCAAAGGAAGTTGGGAAGCAATACTTCCGAGTTACGAATGATTTTTACTTGATGCAATTGACTATGATGAAGGGTGGTAGATCACAGAACAATACATAATCTAACAATACATAACAAAAGAATAAGAAGCTATGGAATTGACCTTGAAGAAGGGTGGTAGATCACATAACAATACATAATCTAACAATACATAACAAAAGAATAAGAAGCTATGGAATTGACCTTGATGATGGGTGGTAGATCACATAACAATACATAACAAAAGAATAAGAAGCTATGACACAGGGTGGTGACGAAGGGACGTGGTTACGATGGGAAGTGGTGACGAAGAGAAGTGGTGACGAAGGGAAGTGGTGACGATGGGAAGTGGTGATGAAGGGAAGTGGTGACGGAGGGAAGTGGTGATGAAGGGGAGTGGTGAGGAAGGGAGGTGGGGACGATGGGAGGTGGTGACGATGGGAAGTGGTGACGATGGGAAGTGGTGATGAAGCGAAGTGGTGACGGAGGGAAGTGGTGATGAAGGGGAGTGGTGAGGAAGGGAGGTGGGGACGATGGGAGGTGGTGACGATGGGAAGTGGTGACGATGGGAAGTGGTGATGAAGGGAAGTGGTGATGAAGGGAAGTGGTGACGGAGGGAAGTGGTGATGAAGGGGAGTGGTGAGGAAGGGAAGTGGTGTTGAAGGGAAGTGGTGACGATGGGAAGTGGTTGGTTCCTCCGCTGTGTTCTGCAACGAGTCGTTGTGTCTGTCTGCGTAGTTCTATGCGTTTCTTGAATCTCTGGTTGCATGGGCTATCTTGAGGGGAGGAAGCCGGAGCACGAAACCTTGTGTTTTTCCGTGTAAAGTGGTTGCAGTCGGCGATGAAAGGTACCTCGTGTGTGCGGCGGGTGCGGCTGCGGTCGTTTGGTTCCTTCTGTGTGTTTTGCAACAATTGTTGTTCCTGTGTGCGTAGTTCTATGCGTTTCTTGAAGCTGTGGTTGCAGATCGCATTGGAATGGCTGCATGAATGTTGCATGGGCTTTGTTTTGGGGAGGAAGCCGGAGCACGAAACCTTGTGTTTTTCCGTGTAAAGTGGTTGCAGCCGGCGATGAAAGGTACCTCGTGTGTGCGGCGGTTGCGGCTGCGGTCGTTTGGTTCCTTCTGTGTGTTTTGCAACAATGTGGTGTTCCTGTGTGCGTAGTTCTATGCGTTTCTTGAAGCTGTGGTTGCAGATCGCATTGGAATGGCTGCATGAATGTTGCATGGGCTTGTTTTGGGGAGGAAGCCGGAGCACGAAACCTTGTGTTTTTCCGTGTAAAGTGGCTGCAGCCGGCGATGAAAGGTACCTCTGTGTGCGCGTTGCGCTGGCGGGTCGTTTGGTTCCTTCTATGTGTTTTGCAACAATGGTTGCTCCTGTGTGCGTAGTTCTATGCGTTTCTTGAAGCTGTGGTTTGCGGATCGCATTGGAATGGGTGCATGAATGTTGCATGGTGTGTGTTGTGGGGAGGAAGCCGGAGCACGAAACCTTGTGTTTTTCCGTGTAAAGTGGTTGCAGTCGGCGATGAAAGGTACCTCGTGTGTGCGGCGGGTGCGGCTGCGGTCGTTTGGTTCCTTCTATGTGTTTTGCAACAATGGTTGTTCCTGTGTGCGTGGTTCTATGCGTTTCTTGAAACTCTGCTTGCGGATCGCATTGGAATGGCTGCCTCAAGGTTGCATGGGCTATCTTGTGGGGAGGAAGCCGGAGCACAAAACCTTGTGTTTTTCCGTGTAAAGTGGCTGCAGCCGGCGATGAAAGGTACCTCGTGTGTGCGGCGGGTGCGGCTGCGGTCGTTTGGTTCCTTCTATGTGTTTTGCAACAATGGTTGTTAGGAAGCCGGAGCACGAAACCTTGTGTTTTTCCGGTAAGTGGTTGCAGGTCGCGAATGAAAGGTACCTCTTCTGTGTGCGGCGGGTGGTGGCGGCTGCGGTCGTTTGGTTCCTTCTATGTGTTTTGGCAACAATGGTTGCTCCTGTTTACGTAGTTCTATGCGTTTCTTGAAGCTGTGGGTTGCGGATCGCATTGGAATGGGTGCATGAATGTTGCATGGTGTGTGTTGTGGGGAGGAAGCCGGAGCACGAAACCTTGTGTTTTTCCGTGTAAAGTGGTTGCAGTCGGCGATGAAAGGTACCTCGTGTGTGCGGCGGGTGCGGCTGCGGTCGTTTGGTTCCTTCTGTGTGTTTTGCAACAATTGTTGTTCCTGTGTGCGTAGTTCTATGCGTTTCTTGAAGCTGTGGTTGCAGATCGCATTGGAATGGCTGCATGAATGTTGCATGGGCTTTGTTTTGGGGAGGAAGCCGGAGCACAAAACCTTGTGTTTTTCCGTGTAAAGTGGCTGCAGCCGGCGATGAAAAGTACCTCGTGTGTGCGGCGGTTGCGGCTGCGGTCGTTTGGTTCCTTCTATGAGTTTTGCAACAATGGTTGCTCCTGTGTGCGTAGTTCTATGCGTTTCTTGAAGCTGTGGTTGCGGATCGCATTGGAATGGGTGCATGAATGTTGCATGCTGTGTGTTGTGGGGAGGAAGCCGGAGCACGAAACCTTGTGTTTTTCCGTGTAAAGTGGCTGCAGGCGACGATGAAAGGTGGTGTGCGGCGGTTGCGGCTGCGGTCGTTTGGTTCCTTCTATGTGTTTTGCAACAATGGTTGCTCCTGTGTGCGTAGTTCTATGCGTTTCTTGAAGCTGTGGTTGCGGATCGCATTGGAATGGGTGCATGAATGTTGCATGCTGTGTGTTGTGGGGAGGAAGCCGGAGCACGAAACCTTGTGTTTTTCCGTGTAAAGTGGTTGCAGTCGGCGATGAAAGGTACCTCGTGTGTGCGGCGGGTGCGGCTGCGGTCGTTTGGTTCCTTCTATGTGTTTTGCAACAATGGTTGTTCCTGTGTGCGTGGTTCTATGCGTTTCTTGAAACTCTGCTTGCGGATCGCATTGGAATGGCTGCCTCAAGGTTGCATGGGCTATCTTGTGGAGAGGAAGCCGGAGCACAAAACCTTGTTTTTCCGTGTAAAGTGGCTGCAGCCGGCGATGAAAGGTACCTCGTGTGTGCGGCGGGTGCGGCTGCGGTCGTTTGGTTCCTTCTATGTGTTTTGCAACAATGGTTGTTAGGAAGCCGGAGCACGAAACCTTGTGTTTTTCCGTGTAAAGTGGTTGCAGTCGGCGATGAAAGGTACCTCGTGTGTGCGGCGGGTGCGGCTGCGGTCGTTTGGTTCCTTCTATGTGTTTTGCAACAATGGTTGTTCCTGTGTGCGTAGTTCTATGCGTTTCTTGAATCTCTGGTTGCGGATCGCATTGGAATGGCTGCGTCAAGGTTGCATGGGCTATTTTGTGGGGAGGAAGCCGGAGCACGAAACCTTGTGTTTTTCCGTGTAAAGTGGTTGCAGTCGGCGATGAAAGGTACCTCGTGTGTGCGGCGGGTGCGGCTGCGGTCGTTTGGTTCCTTCTATGTGTTTTGCAACAATTGTTGTTCCTGTGTGCGTAGTTCTATGCGTTTCTTGAAGCTGTGGTTGCAGATCGCATTGGAATGGCTGCATGAATGTTGCATGGGCTTTGTTTTGGGGAGGAAGCCGGAGCACGAAACCTTGTGTTTTTCCGTGTAAAGTGGCTGCAGCCAGCAATGAAAGGTACCTCGTGTGTGCGGCGGGTGCGGCTGCGGTCGTTTGGTTCCTTCTATGTGTTTTGCAACAATGGTTGCTCCTGTGTGCGTAGTTCTATGCGTTTCTTGAAGCTGTGGTTGCAGATCGCATTGGAATGGCTGCATGAATGTTGCATGGGCTTTGTTTTGGGGAGGAAGCCGGAGCACGAAACCTTGTGTTTTTCCGTGTAAAGTGGCTGCAGCCGGCGATGAAAGGTACCTCGTGTGTGCGGCGGGTGCGGCTGCGGTCGTTTGGTTCCTTCTATGTGTTTTGCAACAATGGTTGCTCCTGTGTGCGTAGTTCTATGCGTTTCTTGAAGCTGTGGTTGCGGATCGCATTGGAATGGGTGCATGAATGTTGCATGGGCTTTGTTTTGGGGAGGAAGCCGGAGCACGAAACCTTGTGTTTTTCCGTGTAAAGTGGCTGCAGCCGGCGATGAAAGGTACCTCGTGTGTGCGGCGGTTGCGGCTGCGGTCGTTTGGTTCCTTCTATGTGTTTTGCAACAATGGTTGCTCCTGTGTGCGTAGTTCTATGCGTTTCTTGAAGCTGTGGTTGCGGATCGCATTGGAATGGGTGCATGAATGTTGCATGCTGTGTGTTGTGGGGAGGAAGCCGGAGCACGAAACCTTGTGTTTTTCCGTGTAAAGTGGTTGCAGTCGGCGATGAAAGGTACCTCGTGTGTGCGGCGGGTGCGGCTGCGGTCGTTTGGTTCCTTCTATGCGTTTTGCAACAATGGTTGTTCCTGTGTGCGTGGTTCTATGCGTTTCTTGAAGCCGTGGTTGCAGATCGCATTGTAGTGGCTGCTTCAAGGTTGCTGGTTGCCGCCGCTGCATGTGTAATACTATTGTCTTTTGCAGCTGACGATCGTAAATCGTATTGGAGTGGCTGCATCCAGGCTGCGATAGTGATGTGTTACTAATTTTCGCGCTCATACTTTTCCTTTTAAAAATTCTTTTAAAAAGTGCATCAAAATCGTTTTTTTCTGCTTTGGCGTCGACATCCGGTTTTGGAGCTGCAATTTCCGACACCGTTGCGGGTAGTTCTAGTGTGTTTTGCAACTCAGTCTCTGCAGATCGCATTGTAGTGGCTGCGTCAAGGTTGCTTGGTGCAGCGGCTGCATGCGTAATACTATTGTCTTTCTTTTGTTGCTGAACATCGTAAATTGTATTGGAGTGGCTGCATCCAGGCTGCGATAGTGATTTGTCAGTAGATTTTCGCAATTTTGGCGCTAGTAATTTTCATTTTAAAAATCCTTTTAAAAAGTGCTTCAAAATCGTTTTTTTTCTGCTTTGGCGTCGACATCCGGTTGTGGAGCTGCAATTTCCGACACCGTTGCGGGTAGTTCTAGTGTGTTTTGCAACTCAGTCTCTGCAGATCGCATTGTAGTGGCTGCGTCAAGGTTGCTTGGTGCAGCGGCTGCATGCGTAATACTATTGTCTTTCTTTTGTTGCTGAACATCGTAAATTGTATTGGAGTGGCTGCATCCAGGCTGCGATAGTGATTTGTCAGCAGATTTTCGCAATTTTGGCGCTAGCAATTTTCTTTACCAGTGGTATGGCTGGATCTTGTAAATAGTATTGGAGTGGCTGCATCAAGGCTGCGACAGTGATTTGTCACTAGATTTTTAGTTTTGGCGCCGGTGAGATTCTTTTTTTTGGTTCCGCGGCTGCATGCGTAATAACTGGGAATGGCTGGTGAAAAGTGCTCCAACAGTATTTTTTCTTGGAAGACTGCCAATTGGGAGGAGCACCAGGTAAAGCACGGATGCCGCGAGTCTTTTCAGTCCTTAGGTGCTTCTGCTGTATCAATTTGAAATCCACCTGACGCTCCACTCCACCTGAGCTGATCGTCACAAATTGGGTGCCAGGAATCTCTCTGACATAGTCGAGGTATGCCTGGAGCATTTGTTCATTCGCCTCAGGCGCGAACTCTTCCCAGTGACCGTCCATGTTATATTACACACCACGTCTGAGAACAGAACCGCTGTTCTGCGTCTGCAGTTGTGCTTGCAGCTCGTCCTTCTCAACGGTCACGGTCTACAACACATCTTGCAGGATTGCCACTTGACCCTCAGCGGCTTTGCACAACGCTTTCTCAGCATCCAACTTTTGAGTTGTTCGGAACAGCGTGGCCAACTGCTGCCCTCTCAAAGTTGCACAGAGTTCTTCGGCGCTCTTACGTTTTTCTTTTTTAAGAAGCAGCTCCTCACATTTCCTTGCCATGGCGCCCAATTGCTCTTGCAAGCTCGCAGACAGGTCCTCGGAAGCCTTGCGCGCCTCCTTTTCGACTGTGAGCCCCTTCGCTTTCTGAAACAAGGTTTGCTGGCATAGCATTTCAGCTCTCTGCCGTTTCTGTGTTTCAGCGGCGAGGTCCACACGTTTCAACTTCTGAAACTCTGCTTCTAACTGGTCCTTTTCCGGCAACAAGGTCTCTAGCATATCTTGCAACTGTGCAACCTGATCACAAGCTTTGTGGTTCTCTTTTTTAAGAAGCAGCTCCTAACATTTCCTTGCCATGGCGCTCAATTGCTCTTGCAAGCTTGCAGACCGGTCCTCGGAAGCCTAGCGCGCTTCCTTTTCGACTGCGAGCTCATTCGCTTTCTGAAACAAGGCTTGCTGGCATAGCATTTCAGCTCTCTGCCGTTTCTGTGTTTCAGCGGCGAGCTGTTTCAAAGGAGTGTCAGCTGCAGCATCCATGGTCAATGAGGAGCAATGAGCTTGTGTCAGAGTCCCCGCTCAAAGCCTGTGATCTAAGGACACGTCATAGTAGAGTCGATTTTACTGTAGAAGTAACCTGTTGGCTGTCTTGCCACCTATCTGACTGCATGTGATGAAAGTTAGTGCCACCTCATGGTGTTTGAAGCAACCTTCGACAACTAAAGCAAGATCGTGGCATGGAAGAATTCATTGGGATAAGCCACTACAAAGTCACTTGAGCCCCCCCTTGCAAACTCAGTCAAGTGTCAAGGAAATTCCACGACAATGAAGGGAGGATGGCGAATGTCCCATACAAAGTTGAACAACCCCATGCATGCATCTGTGTCTCAAGCTTCTGTGTGCTGACAGTAAGAGCTTTCTGGCGTGCAGAACAGCTAGAACAGCTGAGATGAGTTGAGAACAAATTCGAGGAGATGAGAAAGGTTGATCAGTGCTCGGATGAGATGAAAACAGTTGAGAAGAACTTTCTTAGATGACATGTGAGAGGCGATGGGATGAGATGAGAAGAGCTGAGATGAGGTAAGATGAGGTGAGAAGAGCTCACATGATCTGAGATGAGATGAAGTGTCCAGTTTGAAGTGTGAAGAGTGCAGCGTGAAGTGTGAGGAAAGTCTTCGCTTGCCGTTGCATTGCACCGGGGTCGCGCAGGTCATCTTGGACAACAACACTGCACGACAACAGCTTGGACAAAGCACGCACGCACGGGCTTGGCTGGCGCACGGCGCATGCAAGTTCTATAGATGAGAAAGGTCTTATATATATCTTTAAGGCAACTTCCGCCCCGCCTCGTGCGGGTACTACTGGTACATATATGTACAAGTAAACCACCATCTAATGGAAATGGTTTAAAAACATGGGTATATTAGTATATTTGCATGAGTGTATGATGGGTATATCGCCAATGAAACTCATTCATACTTACATGTTTCCATTTTTGATCCAACACCTGTTTTTTCCTGCAATCTTTGCTCTGTACGTTTCTTTGTGGCATTTTTTGTTTAATTTTCCATCTGCTAGAGTGTCCAGAAGTGGGGCAATCTTGACTGGGAATACGGCCTGTGCTTCTTTTGGGCCTACTTAGACCGGAATTGACAAACTGAAACAGGATTTCAGCATAAGAAACAAGCATTGAATGGATTTCCACCTAGGGGTTATTGACCTCCCATCTGATTTTGACATTGAACAGCCAAAGTTGGACCCAGCATGGGGCTACTTTCGGCGCCCATGGGCACCAATGGACTCAGGACGGCTGTAGGGGGAAGTCCATCTTGTGCAAAACTTCGAAGAGCGAAGCGAACTGCAAATTCTGGAAGCGCGTCGGCTGCTCTTGGGGACAAGCTGCTTGGAGAATTCTTGACTTTGGCTGGAAAATCATATTTGATCAGTGGCCTTTGAGGTCCGCAAATCTAAGGCCTTGCTGCAGAAAGACACAGACTTTCCAACGAACTGCACCCACGGAATCCAATGCAATGAGGATGGCTGCAGGTGGAGTGGGCGGGTTGATCAACGTTGATCTCAAGTGTTTTTCACAGCTATGAACATTTGACGACTAGCATAGATACTCCCCCCAAAATAGGGGGACATCTGTGGATGATTCGTCTCAGAGTTGGACTTATTAACTTCAATGGTTCAGTTTGGATCAATCATTTATCAACCCCAAGCCACATTTTCTGGAGGAACTGGTCTTTCTTTCCACCCGTCAGGTGTGCCAATCCCGGAGAAGTCAAGCAGATCACGGAGGATATCGTGAAGGAGGCAGTTGAGCAGACTGAGCCATGACATCTAATGGGATTTAGCCAACAAATAATACACATATGGGGTGGAAAACCTCCAAAAATATGGGCTTGTAGTTGACACATGATAGTTGATTAGCTCTTGTAACGCGCTATACCGCCTAGTTTATCGGGGATAACTATCAACCAACCAGTACAATGGAATGGGGATAGGACTATTTTTCTGGCTCTGTCTCAGCTTTTTCCGTTTGAAATTTGATCATTTCGGTAGAAAAACATCTTGCGGGTTCTGATTGAAACCCATCCGACCCATCCATTGAACATGATAAAAATCGCAGCCTTGTTGGATCTGCTGAGGTGGCTGGGAAGTTTCATTGGGTCATAAATAATCTGATACTTACTTAAATGGTACCCTCCCAATTAAACAGCCGTAAACGGGGTTTATTAATCCAGGGTTGACATTAAGCTACTTATAGAAGTTGCTTTTTTGGTTATCACTTTATTTAGCCTTATATTACTTATATTATAGAAACATGAACTCTTAGAGCATTCACTACATCAATAGTTTAAAGTGGCACACCGCCCATGCGACCGTTCAGCCGACAGATGGAGACCGTATGGTCCCAGGTTCCAGGGATTCTGCATCGCTATTGGGGATGTTCCATCATCATGAACTGGGAATCTCCTTGAACCAGGATTTTCCAGAAAATTTTGCACAGATTGAACGGAGCTATGTCAAGATTGGGATGTTTAAAGAGAAACACATGGGTAAATTAATGGTTACAGAGGTTGGCAAAATGGAAGAGCAAGCAAGACTTTCAAAGCGATGGGATGAAATGGGGTTCCAGATTTGTAGACAACTCCATGTGCTTTTCCGACTGGTTTGTTGGGGAAAATAGTTGGGTACCTGGGTACTATTTTTTTTTCCAAACAATTCTAGGTAAACTCTTATGGCACACCATTTTCCGGCCCAGCTACTTTTTCCCTTCAAAGACAGCATTGATGGGGCAAAACTGTTGGTGTTTGATGCTTATTCACAAAGAATGTGGTTAGACTATCAAGGTTGGCAAGTTGTGTAGCAAGTACCGCAAGTACTGCTATAGTCTCAAGTGAATCTTCCACTATATTTTTATCAAGGCTAGCCTATCAGGTCCAAAAAGTGGTTTCAACCAACTTCCACTGAACATCATGAAAATTGCTGGTCATGGCGATATGACACACACTTGCTCAGAAACATCTTATCGATTTACTGATGTGGAATGCATCGCACGTGCAAAAACACTTCAGTTAAACCTGACAGGAATGGTTTGATGATTGGAAGTGAGAAACTGTGCGAGGAAATCTTTCTACGTCCTTGCTCGAAGGATTTACTTGTTCTGATGCAGCTCAGTCAGATTGCGAAAACCGTACAGTAGTTTGAAAACTGTTGAAAAAACGACATGCCGGTTCTTGGCTTAGCCGGTTGCCATTGACGAAAAACTGGAAAATTGCAGGTACGTTTTCACAGGAACATTGCAGCGTCTTCGTTGGCCGCTGACTGCAATGTTCCCCAGCGGCAGTATATATATATATATCCCCTGCTAGATTACGGAAAATACCAAGGTAGAAGTTTTACATCTATTCAGATGTTCCACACACACGCCCCGCTGCCGCGGGGCATTTAAGGCCCCGACGAATGAGATGAAGGTGAAAATGAGAGAAATGGAAATGAAATGACGATGAAGATGAAATGGCAATTACTTAACCGGAACACAAGAGGGGGAACGCAAAAAGGAAAAGGGAAGGAGAAAACACCAACACCAACACACCTAGCCCGAAACGGGCAAACCCTGAAAGGGCAAGGGAAAAGAAAAAGCGGACGGACGACAGGCCAAAAACCAACCAGAGGAGGGGGGGCGGACAGAAGCGCCTGACACAACTTACAAGGCGAGAGCCAAAACCTACCTCGGCACGCGAAGGACCCAAACCTTGGCCTAGAAAGGGAGCCCGCATGAGATAGGGGACCAATGGGGACCTAGTTGATGAAAAATGATGCATCCACATTGCATGCAAGATTCGTGATAAGGCTCAAAGGCCCTCGGCATTCAAGTCACAACCCTCTGGACGGCTTACGTGTTCAACCCCTGAATTAGGTGCACAATTTAAATGAGAAAAGGAAAAGGGTGAGGCCAAGCACAGCGGCCAGCGGGTCCACACAACGACATCGACGGGTGAGACAAGGAAAAAAGGCCGGCTGTTCACTTTACTTAAACGAATTACTAATTCAAAAGTGTAAATTCAGACATCGTTTTACCGTCAATTGTTAGCCTAGAAAGGCTTTCCCCGAAGGGCTCATACCACCTTGACGGATATCGGCATGAGTCCCCTGCTGAATTGGAAAATCCAGTTCATGATTGAAAAAACGAGTCAGTAGAAACGAAACAGCCAAACCATCGCTTAGAAGTTTTACATCTTTTCAGATGATCCACACACACACCCTCCCGCAGGAGGGTGAAAAATTAAGGTCCGGACAGTGAAATGAAAATGAAAATGAAGGGAAATGAAGATGAGGTGAAGATGAAAATGAGATGAAAGTTACTTAACCAGGACGCGAAGAGGGGAACGCAACGCAGAGGGAAAGAGAAAACACCAACACAAGGAAACCTGGCCCACCACGGGCAAACCCTGAAAAGGCAAGGAAAAAGAAAAGCGAAGGCAGACGGAAACGGAAAAAGACCAGCGGAGGGGGGGGAAGGACGGACGCGCCTGAACCAACCTACCACAGCGAACCTACACCTACCTCAGCACGCGCAGAACCCAACCTACCTGGAGAGAGGAGAACGCAGGAACACATGAAATAAGGGACCCACGGGGAACTAGTTAATGAAAAGATGCATCCACATTGCATGCAAGATTCGTGATAAGGCTCAAAGGCCCTCGGCATTCAAGTCACAACCCTCTGGACGGCTTACGTGTTCAACCCCTGAATTAGGTGCACAATTTCAACCTCACCGAGAAACCAAAAAAGACAGATACCACACCTGGAAAGCATGTCCTGTTACCTGATCATGTGCAAATGGCTGCGGAGTGGCTGTCTCTTGAAACAACAGGAAGGTTGTTGTCGCAGCTTAAGACTATGCATTGGCTGCCCAATGAAAATGGTGAGGCCAGGAAAAGCGGCCAGCTGTTCAACACATCGACATCGACAAATGAGAAAAGGAAAAGGGTGAGG